ACACACACACACACACACACACACACACACACACACACACACACACACACACACACACACACACACACACACAGTTAACTCCCAAGGTAAATGTACAAAGAACTGAAGGTGTTGTGTTAACCACAAGACTAGACCAGACAGCTGCAGTTACTTTATGTCAACTGTAATCAACGCGCTCATTAAAATCTCTAGTTTAGCCTGTTTATCTTCTACTATCATATTGAATCAATACAGTGATATGAAGCAGGATGTAAATTAGGTTTCACCTAACTGCTAATTGATAAAACCACTTTCACTCTGTTTGATTGTGCATAACACACCCTAATCCATTCGACACTCACAATGTTTGGTGCCAAACATCCTGACCTGATAAGCAAATGTCAAAGCATGATTATACAGACAAACTTTCACATGAATGCAGAAGGGATATATATTCCTAATGTACTCATGTAACAGCAGAAATGTTTCTCTGGCTTTAGAAATGTCGAAATCGAGAATACATGTTTGCCACTTTAAGTTGGTGTTGTTCTTACAAAAACAACGAGCCGGCTTCACTGCAAGAGTGCAATGAGCCGGCTACTGTTTTTGAACTGACACAGTTCAACGTTTCAAAGTTTGAAACCCAGAAGAACACTCAGCTTGTCTCTGGTCAGTGCCTTGCAGTCTTATGCCAGATTTATGTATGTTCTGAAAGAGATTCATGTTCAAATGTTTCAAATCTCAGGTGTTTCACTCGTTTCTTTTCCCAGATATCTTAAATACTAAGGTGAGGGAGAAGAACTCAGGCAAAGTGCTGCGTTTTAGTTTGCCTTAGTTGTGAAAGAGTCCAGATTTGGAGTTCAGTATGAGTATTTAAGTTGATAAAACATCCCACAGTGAACTGTGCTCCACCCTCAGGGGAGTTTCTTGACTTTATCCTGAGCTGGGGCTTTAAGGACAAATAAAGGGCTGTGAATCGGGCAGGTCTGGGCGGTGCCTTCCTCCCCCACCCCCGTCCTGTGTGCTTTGTGTGTCAGAGGATTGCTCTCACCATTACAGCTATTCTTCAGCATCTGAGGGAATGCTTGGGCTCCTCAGCTGCAGAACGTGCTGTATGGAGAGGGGAGTACATGACTCCGATCTTCAGTGGAAATCAGTGGCATAATTTGCTGTTGAGTAAAATAATAAGCCTTAGTTTCTATAGGAAAAGAAATGACTTGTGAATAATGACTTGATCACTGTTGACGTTTTGGACTCATTCTGTCACAGTGAATATCCTGTTGATATGGGATATTTGATAAATTTGAATGAAATGTATTTGTCATCACCTGTGACATTGTCACTGTTTTTAATGATGCATCTTCGTGGGAATCGAATATGCATCATTCTTCGGTTCCCACCAAAGAATGACAGATCAGACCTCTGACTGATCAAGAAAGCAATGTCAATGGCTTGTCTGGTCCGGCTTCCATGTCCAGGCTGAAGAAAAGCCTCCCCACGACATAATACTGCCACCACTATGTTTCACAGAGAGCATGAGGTTTTCAGGGTTCTGTTTTTTTAAGCTCACGGACTGAATGGTGATTCTTGAAATGTAGAAACACTTTATGACCTAACCCTGCTCAGAACTTGAATTTCTTTATCTCCAAGGTGTTGTTTGTTCACTAATGTTCCCTGATCAACCTCTGAGGCCTTCAGAGAAATGCAACATTTATGAGATTAAATTACTCTAGAAGTAGGTAACTTCTTAAGTTGGTTATTGGCACTGGATTTTCTTTAGGGGGACTGGAGTCAAGGAAAAGCTTCAAGGGACGTGAATACTTTTGCAAGGCAAGCATGATTGAATGCCAGCACAGAGTTAACAGGAAAGTGGTCTCCAGACTTTGGAATACCACAAAAATTAGATTTTGAAATGATCAGGACATCTGTCTAATGGGGACAAGAAGAATGTGTGTGTGATTCTGATTTCATTAGTCTTCAAATATGAATCAAACGGACCTTGTTTTCCGGAATCTAATATAAGAAGTCAGAAGTTAACTTGAAGTTGAACTTCCAACGGGTCGATACTAAATTAATCTCATCCTGTTAACGAAGACTTAAGTAGATAACAGCTGTGCAGGGGGACCGCATTCCTCCTCTGACCTTTTCGTTTTCTGCTGTGCCTTTTTCCACAATTATTTGGGCCTTTTATAGAACTATGTGAGGGCAGTTTCTTCCTCCCTCTCCTGTTTCTCTCTGCCTTCTTTCTCTGTGCAGACAAAGCCGGCGTTGTCCGCTGAAATTCTGTGTTGCTTTGGGTCAGCATCTAATGGAATGCCTCGGAAATCGTCTGGTGAAGGCACTCTCTTAAATGCATTGGTCTGTGCCCTCTTTAATAATCGCACTTCTTCTGGTTTGGTGACTCACGCATGCTAAAGAGACGACGTGACAGCTATGGCGATGCTTCGTTTCGAGGGATTTTTCAATGGGGATTGTTATTTCAAAGAGCGACACATTTTGAGCATTAAATATTTAAAGGGTGGTTGTTTCTTCTGCACTTCTAAAATCTGATGTAGATTTATTACAACATTAAATCTTTGAACCGCTCTTACCTCTGTCACTTCCACTCTAGATCATTGTCTCTGCGACTGTTCTCCGGAGGAAGAGAGTACAGATTGGTATTTATGGCAAAATGAACATCCAGAGCATCATAAGTGTCTGATGAGGGACATGCGGGCTACAATCAGAACAAGAGTGCAAATTATTTTTGCCAGCATTTTTCTCTGCCGTGGAACTCATGTGTTTATGCCCGTTTCCAAGGGAGTTTAAAGGCTTTACTATGGTGTTACATGGAGGAGATTTACTGTCTGATGGTGCCAGTGTAATCTGAAGCACCGTTTCAGTTGCTGCACATGGACAATGTCTTGTCGAACTTGGACTCTTTCCCAAAGATTGTCGATAATGACTGCATGTTTTTCTCCGTTGTTTTTAGCTAAATATCTGAAGTCCAGTCGGATTGAAATGAAACAACCTTGCAACAGTAATTTTCAAGGCCTACTGTAGAGTTTCAATTGGATTTATGTCTGGACTTTTGACATCATACAGAACAAAACAGAGTTAGGTCAACACTGTATGTGTGGAATTATTTTTACTTTTTAAATCCCAAATAGTATTTTGGATGTTGTTAAAAAAATAAAATAAAAAAAGGTTTCATTTTGGTTTCATCTGACTGGAGCAATTTCTTTCACATGTTTATAGTGTCCAAAACTCAAAGCATTAAGAATTGTTATGGTTATCTTTTCTTCTTGCCACTCTTAAATAAAGGTCTATGACTAACCCTCTTTACGGATTATTTCAATAGACTGTTCTCCTGTCTGTTTTTCTTCATGCTCCCTTTACCTGATCTTACCTGAGGGATATGGATTGAGCAGCTCGGGAACAACTTTGCCGCTCACCTGTCCGCTGTTTTCCTTTATCTTTAATGTTGCTGTTTCTTAATTAATTAATATTAATACTCACACATACTTTGAGGCCTTCTCTGGAAACACTATATTCACACTTAGATGACACAAATGTAGATTTTGTTTAGGTGTTGTCTGAAATGAATTCATCTAGTAGTATCAGAGTTACAACATGCTTGTCACAAAGCTCAGATTTTTTTTTTTTTTTTTATTTATGGAAAAAAAAAAGTTACTCTAAATCCTGTCGATTCCTCCCGTTTTGTATCGCTTTGTTTTGTTGTTTTGAGGTGTGGTGGGCTGGTGAGTGTGGCAGAAAGACCAGTAGGAGGGGCTGCCTGTGGACTACACTCCAGCCCTCCAAGTCCCTATTTGTCGCACTCTGCACCTTCTGCACCAAAGACTCACCTTTCTTCTCGTCTGGGAACTTGCACTCTCTCATGGAGGGCAACGACACCACCCGCGGACTGCGGCTGCTCGCCTTGTTACTGGCATGTGGCGGGCTGCTGTCTGCGTTTAACCTGGACACCGAGGACGTCCTGAGGAGAGACGGGGACCCGGGCAGCCTGTTCGGATTCTCTCTCGCCATGCACCGGCAGCTTCACCCGGAGGACAAGAGAATGTAAGGAAACAATGTCTTGTCTTAGAGGGACACCATTGCTTGCGGCGTCCTACGAGTTTAAACTGCGTCTTTTTCTTCTTTTATTTAAAAATAACTCTTAGTATCCATGTAATTAAGACTTCACTGCAGATTAGGCGGCAGTTAGTTTATTTTAGGTTCTTGAAGTGTCTTCAGGGCCAATGAACTCGTTTTAAAAACGAGCCTGGGAGCCAATTAAGTATCAACAGAGTGCTATAACGCAGTAATGTGAGCTCAGGTATGTGACAGGTTGTTAAAAGTTTTTTTTTTCTTTTCGCCTGAATGTCTTTAAACCCGCCGCATTCCATCGTTAATGTAGCTCTTTCTGTACATTTGAGCACCTGTCGTGAGTTAAACACCAAGTATGCACTTGTTAATATTTCCCTAGGTTACTCATTATCAGTTTTTATTGGACTTCCTCCAAAGGTTTCCAATACGCTTGCGCATTACCCCTCTTCGGTCTTCTGATGTTGTGTTTAGATGAGGCCAATTTTTTATTTTTTTTAAAGAGACTATAAGCATCTGCTTAGAGAAAATTTGAAGTTTTGAACAGTTGTCCTGCATAATCACTCAAGTTTATTTGTGTAACACATTTCAGCGACAAGGGAGTTCAGAGTGGTTTACATCATAAAAAAACGCAAAAGGTACAAAGTCATGAAACACATAATCAACAATCGAAGCATGAGATTCTGTTAAATTCAACTTGCTTTCAAATAGATGCCGGGTGTGACCAGAAATCACAACAGATAATCTATTTGATCTGGACCACAGTGAATATTGTATTTTATTTGTATGTTCAGTGTCTGAGGAAAGCCTTCAAAGTTAGATTAAATGTGCTTCTAGTAAGGATTGAAAAACACTATTAATAGTCAAAGTGTGCTAATTGATATTATATATTTTAATTGTCAAATATCTTGGAGTTAATTTAATTTGTCTGTGAACAGAGATCTCCATTTGTTAATGTAATACATGCAGGTTTTGAACATTTCAGACAGACTGTATTTACAGAGAGTAGTACAAACCATGTCTGAATAATGCGTAAAATGCTTTTAGTCGTTGCTTTTAACGCAGAAATGATCAATACTCAGGCTTTTCCATCTGCTTTTTCAGAGTATAGCACCTCTCAAAAGAGGACAAACCCCTCTAACAATGCCAAGTTTTTGTTGTTTGGACTGCTAAATTCTTCAAAAACATTTTCCGCATTTAATATGACACATATCCTGTATGCGTCAAATAAAAACTAACAAATCTGTTTGAAGGGAAGTGTAAAAAGTTGCAGGAACCCGGTTGCATAACTGTACACACCTTTAAAACAAATACGTTGTCGAAACGCCTTTTAATCCGACGGTATCATTCAGCTTTCTTGATTTCACAGTTGTTGTAAAATTCAAACTTCACTCTTTAAGGGCCGGCGTCCTGCAACTTTTATGTCTCTCTGCTTCAACACACCTGGCTTCAATATTAGCTCATTAACATAACTCTGTGAAGCTTGACTGCATGCTAGTGAGGCAGTTTAGACATTTAATTCACATGTGTATGACAAGGAATACATCTAAATGTTGCAGGGTTTTGCTTATGTGCATACAATGATCAGGTCTTCCAACCATTGTCCAGTTTGGACCCCGAAACCTTCAGGTATCTGCTAGAAAGCTGAAAGCGTTGAGAGGTTTCATTTTCGGCATCACAGTGAGTCTGAGCGTACGTCCAAATAATCGAATGATGACTGCAGGCAAGAGATTTATCCTGATAATCTTAACAGATTAGGAAACTTTCTGCAAGGTAGAGTGAGCAAATAGTAGTGAGTCAAGATGTGACATGCTGATAGACTTTTACCTCGGATACAGTAGTTGGGTGAAAAGTTGCTTCAACAAAGTATTTGTTTAAGGGTGGGAATGCTTTCATTTTAAGTTGTTTCTTCACACATTCCCACTAAGAGATTTCTAAATTATTCGGCAGAACTGCACAGGATAAAAGTCAAATTAAAACCTTAAAATGAAAAAAAAAAACAAAACAAAAAAAACTACCCTTTGTGGAAGTCCCAAATAAGAATCTACAAATCCAAAAAAAAGGATAAAATAGTAGCAAATCCGATGGCAACCTCAGGCAAATACAGTGCACCCTCATATTTTCTTACCGTGTTTGCACAACCTCAGGGAATACCACCTTGCTATTGTGGTAATATGAATATGTACAATAGAAAAATGCAAGTGACAAAGCAAACAAACAAAAAAAACCCCTCCAACTTTCAAGTACACAGGCCACACCCAGGCTGCCCCGCCCTGGTCAGTGAGCCGCATTGCTCCTATCAAAAACTGCCACTGTCTGAACAACAGGACAGATTTTCCCCCGGTGTAACTTCCTTTGACCTGTTTACATTCAGATGTGTCTAAAGCTCTCAAATTATCTCATGTCAAATGTATCATTTTTTACATTCTTTTACTGCAGCTCTCCGCACCGCTGCTTTTATTCCAATCTGTGTTTAAATGAAAGACACATGGTCACCAGCATGAGACCGAGGCGACGCACCCTTCCCCCCCCCTCCCCCCCACACACCCTTAAGGTTATAAAGCTAAATACTAAACCACTGAGCGCAGACGGATCCGCTAAATTGGAGAGAAACGAGCCAAACGTCAGCTTGTTCTGGCATCTCACGACGGTGTTTATTATTATTGTCTGGGACGAAAATCAATCTTGGAGTTTTGTCTGGTTCTCATAAGATTTTTTTTTTAAAAGAGCAGTATAACTATTGTTGTTTGCTAAACTGCAAATGCAACTATATGTCAGATTACTGTGGGTTGTTTTACCGAAATGGTGCATGGTGCTCATGTTACTGTTATAAAACTGTAGTCTCTGATATGTGTAATTTTCTGTATCACTGTATGCTGCTTTAATGGTGCAATCGCATGTTGCAACTGAGCACTAATCATATTTAGCGACCTCTCACTGTGCTGCTTTGTGCATCCTAAACCTAAGAAGAGGAGAAAGATAGTTAAATTATGCTTACTGTTAATTTTCTTATTTTTATTCCCCCCCCCCCCCCCCCGGTTTTTGGCGGCTTTTTTTGTATTCAGTGTCTGCTTTTTTTTTTT